CCGTTAATGATTACCAATATCCTAGACGAATTTAGACAGCCTCAAATCCACATCCGCCATGTGTTCCCGAAGCCCATTTGTTTGAGAATCGAATCAAGGTATTGCCAGTTCTCTGAATCAAAAGCCTTATCAAAATCGACTTTAAAGAGTAGAATCTTCTTACGAAATCTCTTTGTCCATGAGAACACCTCGTTTATCATGAGGGGGCCATCTAGAATGCATCGACCATCCACATAAGCAGTCTGAACGTCGCCTATTAATCCCCCAATAACCGACTTCATCCGATTGGAGAGTAACTTGCTTATTATCTTGCTCAAACAACCAATTAGACTAATAGGGCAGTAGTCATTCAGGGAAATAGGGTCTTTGATTTTAGGGGCAAGAGTGATGAATGAAGAGTTACACACCCTAGCAAGCAAACTAAACTCTTCAAAATGCATCACGAACTTCATCACATCATTTTTGATAATGTCCCATAATTTCTTCAGGAACGTAAAGGTGAAACCATCAGGTCCAGGGGCTTTTTCACTTTCACAATCCCAAACCGCAGCTTTAACCCCCTCCAGGCTGAAAGAGGATTCAGTTCTGATGGCATCCATCACCCAACATCCGTTAATCATGAGACCATGGATAAGACTTCTTCTGTTTTTACTGTTAATGTACCCATGAAAGAATTTACTGTTTTCATCACCATCTATGGTCCATTTAATTCGAACTTTCTGCATTAGGTCAAGTGCCTTAAGTCGTTTCCACTCCGATATCTTTTTGATTCCATCGTTCCAAATGCCGATTTCCTCTAAAGAAAGAGGCCTGGATTCCGCAAGTTTTTCTAAATCTTTGACTTTTGACATACTGGTATTAACCACTTGCCTTTCTTTTTGGTCCACATCCTTCCTCCACTGCTTAATTATCTCTTTTAAGAATATGAATTTGGCAGCCAAATATGCGTCCGGAGTGCCATACCCCATAAATTGATTCCATGCATCAATTACAACTTGATCAAAATCATCTCTAAGGAGCCACAAGTTGAAGAAATTAAACGGGATTGGCCCAAAATTAGATATAATAGATGTAAGTGTGATTGGACAATGATCGGATAGCTCCTTTGGGTGGGCCGTAACAATATTGAGAGGAAGAGATGACAAATAATCTGGGAAAGCCAAGAATCTGTCAAGTTTGCTTAATTTGGCATCGACCCTACTCATAAATGTAAACCTTTCTCCACTTATGTTAAAATACTTTAGGTTAGCCTCCTGAATAAATCTATTGAAAGCAAAAGCACTTTAAGGGCAGAATTGGGAGTTACATTTCTCACTCAGAATTCTTACCACATTGAAGTCACTAAACACAACCCACATACCGGATCTACCATTTATGATATTGATTAGTTCCGTCCATACCTTCTTCTCATCAGATGGAGATTGGGGGCCGTAGACATTAACGACATTCAAGTTACCATTCACAGCAGAGTTCTTGTACTTACCAAAGACAACAAGAAAGTTAAGGTTTTTGATTACATCAGATTTTTGGAACATTCTAACATCCAATATAGAAATGAGACCCCCAGATCGTCCACTGGGGTCCACACTAACAAAGTTATAATCGTTTGAGTCCCAACATCCTTTAACATCTATGTTTGAGGCGTCCGATAACTGAGTTTCTTGTAACCTAACGAAAGTTGCCCTGTGTTTTAACTTCAACCTTCTAACCCAACTAATTTTCTCATCCTCACCCACCCCTTACATTAAGCGATAGAAAATTCATTGATTAGGAAAGTTTACTTCCATACCACCTACAACCTCAGTAAGAATGAGGTTGTTAGCCTCCAATTGAAAACCAATTTCTGTTCCTATGGCCACCGTCTGACGAATTTCGTTGGATACAGTCTCACCAAGATCATCAGAAAGATTCTGAGACGGACCTGATTCAGATGGTTCTCTGTTGAGATCCAAAGATACGTAATTCCTTGGGGAGCGAGAGTCATTGTTCTTCCGGGTTGGATAATTTGATCGCAAAGAAGAATCACCATGGGGGGGGGGGGGAACGACAACCTCTAGCTCTTTTCCTTCTTTTAATTTTAGGTTCACTACTACACCACTCAGATGACAATTCACAACTATGAGCTATGGATGCGTTCTGGGCTGATGGAGTGGGGTTAAGGGTTGGACTAGAACTCTCACTTGGCCCATAATCATTATTAGGCCCAATAACATTTAGATTCGGATCCGCACCAACATTACTCAGATCCACCCCAATTTTGCATGCATTCCCCCCAATTGACACGTCCTCCATCATCACGTGAGGAATTCCTACCGCCTCACTTAAATTGCCCATGTTGACAGCTTCTTGGGGAATTACCCATGTGAACTCAACAAGTGCATCGTTTGCATTCCCAATATTCCACTGAGTCTTTTTGAGTTCTCCCCGTGTACTCATCTCCTCCAACTGAATTTCTAGTGCAACACCGGAACGAAATTCGCCTTCCTCTAGATCATTAGCATCCTCCTGAACTCATGTCTCAAAGACACCATCATCCTCAACTTTTTCATCTCTACCCTCTAAGACCGACCACTCTACCACTTTATCGAATTGGCAAGGTTTGAAAGGCGACTAGTCATCAGTATATTCAACGAATCCGACTAGATAGATTGTACCATCTACACGAATTTGAACCACTTCATTAATCCACTTCTTCCATGACGTGATTACTCCCACCTTTCCCATGGATAAGTCTTGCCTATCATATATGTTCTCAAATGGACTTATGACCTTTCCATATCTACTAGCAACTCTGGAAAAGTTTTCAGTATCCCAATATCTTAGGGGAACACCAGTGATCTTTAGCCAAGCCAATATTTCATACTGTATGTCTATATTCTCTTCCAGTGTCAACCACTTAAACCATTCTTGCCACCTTGTTTTATCTTCTAAAAACTCACGAGCCTCCGTAGACGAGCCAAATTTGATAGCCATCCTAAGACCTCCAGGATGCTTTGTACCATCTTACGTGAATGTATGAGCTGGTAAGTTGGCAATATGATCAAGGCTATGGGCCTCCCCAATCAGCAGAGTCTTATGTATCCATTCACTCATAGCAGTTTTAGCGTTAAGTAGAATGGATGGGATTGGGGGGGGGGGGGGGGGAGGGGGGATTACCATATCGAATTTCAGTGATGCCTGCTACCACCGTGCGAAGGTTCTTGAGTCCCTGTTCACACTTCTGACCCTGTGGGTTGCATGAGTTTCACTTGGTTTATCTCGTAGGGGCCATCTATTATGGGTTAATTCCTTTTGATATTTGGCGAGATTGGTGAATAGAGTTACACCCCGAAGGCTGACACCCTTCATTCTCGCTTCCAAGGTACCTGTGTCATTCACCCCAACGTACCTTATGAAGGAAAAGTTCTGGTTACGCTGATTCTTCTTCCCTCCAATGTAGATGTTCGATAATTGGCCAAATTTGCCAAAGACTCTGTACAGGTCCATTTTACTGGTACCATCTTGAAACCCTGCTACGTAGAATGTAGATGTATCTTCCTTGCGTTCCTATTCATGCTCGTGTTTACTCTGCCTGCGAATCTCTGTCCACCCATCTCCTGTGGTCACAACACTCCATCCACCCATCCTCCTTTCCGGTATGTGAAACTGCCGATTTTTTTGCAAGATGTTTGGATTGCTAAGGTAAGTGTTTCGGTCCGCCGTAGGATCCCCATTATTTTCTTTGTTTTTATGATTTTGGAGCATTATTTATATTTTTTGTAAGGGTTTTTCTATGCAAAGTAATCTAAAGATATTATTGTAATTTATTAATAATCTCGAATTCTCTCCCTTTTTCTTTGTCAATTTTCATAGCCTTGTATATTCCTTCTTTCTTTTTTGATTATCTTGAAATTATACTAATACCTTTGTAGTTTTCTCGTTTTTGGGTTTCCACTTAAACTTTCGTGTTCTTTGTGTTGATTGTTCCATGCATAACTTACTTTATAACATCTTTTGCAATCTTTTGTAAAGGTAAGGCCAAGGCATATTTTTCCTAGTTCCAATTCGTTCATTCCACACTAATCGACACGGGGTTGTGCCCATTTACCCAAAGGGGACTCTGTTTTTCTTATCAAACTCATCTTAAATAAGAATGTATTATGCACCATCAAACTTGCATTGGATCGAGTTAGATCCTCTTTGACACTCTTATAACACAAGAAAAAGAGATCATGTGCCATTAAAATCACCAAAATTTGGACCATCTTTCCTAGAATAATATATCTCGATTCTATTTAGTTCACCCTTTTCCGTTTCAATTTCATAGTCGTCAAAAGATGCATTGCACTAAATAAATGGTTGAAAGAGGGATGTGGGGACCGTAGATGAAAGAAATGTCAAAACTCAAAATCCATCGTGCCCGATGAATATGGATGATTTAATCTACAATATATGTCAACGGACCACTCTTTTAATATTTGAATTGACAAGCTTTATTTGTCCTTAAATTAAGGCTTAAAGCGGAGATGCACTTTGATCACTTTTGTCAACATGGTGATCCACTAATAATCAAGATTCTATCTTTGTTAACTAACATTCAAAAATCAAATTAAATATACTATTAATTGGTAGGTCAGAAAGTGTATACGACTTTAATTACGGACTAACTTGCTTAAATTGAAAGAAAATAAGCTTCAACAGTTAAAGGGAAATTAATGATTCTTCAACTTGTCCTACCTTATGAAGCTTATTTGGAAACAAGACGTGGCACACAATTTCTATTAAAAGCCTTCTTTTTCTTTCTAAATAGATACACAACCAATCTATTTAATTCTTATCTTTAGGTTTTTCCCATATATATACCAGCCAAGTAGCCAACAGCGCCTATATATTAAGCCAAGAATCCAGACACATAACCAATAAGGTTTCCTTCTATCTTCCTTCTCTCCACACTCCACCAAAACTTGTTCGTCAAGATGATGATGATGATGATTATGATAGCGGGATTCGTGGACTCCATAATGTCACCCATCAAGACTTGGTTAGACACGGTGTCAAATACCCACGACGACCACCCTAAGAACACCAGCATGGTGGTGAAGGAGCTCGGTGTTGGTATCTCTCCAGTTGAATGCATCGTGTGCCTGTCGGAGGTGGCATCAGGAGAAAGGTTGGCAATGCTAGAAAGGTGCAGACATGGGTTTCATGTTCAGTGTGTTGAAGCATGGTTGAAAGACCACCCAAACTGCCCTCTTTGTAGAACCCCAATTTCTGGTTCTAATGAAGATCATACCCACAAGCATAGAGTTTACTTGAAGAAATTGTATTCGATCATGAGCTGTTATGGCTTCCGTGCTGTCGAGAGCACGTCCGGTTGGCTAGCCAGGGTTTCCACTCCGGTCTTTCTGAGATCAGCTTCAGTTACTTGTGATATAACTAGTCGATAGATATACGCGTCAGTTACTTGTGATGTAACTATTCGATAGATATACTCTTATACATAGTACGTTGTTTATGTATTTTTTGATGCTATACGATCTCTTATAACAACATGCAGGTACGTATATAAGGCTCTTATTTATTTCATACAGATGTATAAGCATGTAACGGAAACATTGATGATTATAGATATTCTTTGTCCCTTACAAGAGATGTTTATTTGTGTTGTCAATGGTCATTTTGCGTCATAATTACTCCCATTTTAGTGCGAGATATACGTGATGTAAAGAAAATAACGGTGCGATATATAGAGACATAGAACAGTATCATCCCGATGGTAGTAGTGCAATAACGGTCTTATTCGTTTGTTTCACTGTTTGTGATTCACGGAAAAAAGTGGTGTGAAACCAAAATGTCAAAATAATTGGCTTTTTGCGTAGTCAACAATGATAATCGGAATGGCTGCAGCCGGTTTTAATATGGCAACATATACACACGACCTCACGGGTTTCATGAAAGAAACGTTGCCTCATATCTTCCACAAAAAAAAAAAAAAAAAAAATCTCATTTGATTATTATAATAATTAATAAAAGATACTTTTGACTAAAATTTCAATATCAATATCTTATGAATATGTAAATTTGAAAGTTCTTACGGTTGTTCTTTGTTGTGATTAGTTTATGTAACCACTTGTTAATGAATTTTTAATGATCTTCATTGTGATTTGTGTTGATGTAACCACTTGTTAATGAAATTTTAATGATGGGAGCAGATTTTCACATAATTCTTTTTTTCATAGGTAACGATTTATGTTCTAGTGGGGTTGCACAATATGCAAAAAAAAAAAAAACTATATTTGTTGTATATTATAAAAATGGTTGTATACCGATTAATTTCCTTTAATAATTCATTGTAAGGATACTCACAATATAACCTATTATCACATCTTTATCACTAAATATCTTTTGATTATGAGAAATTAAATATCCTCTTATTTTTTGTTCCTACAAATCTTCCTATCCAATTAAATGATAATATGTGTTTTATTTAATGTTCATTTAATGATATTTAAATATACTAAAATGATACATTTCATCATTTAATTGGATAAAATGATTTGTAGGAATATAAATAGAAGAATATTTAATTTCTCTTTGATTATAACTAGAAACGATCATAGTCAACTTGGTTCAATGGTTATAATAACTTCCAATACTTTTCCCGAAAATTCTGCATGAACATTTGACGAACTTGATAAATCCGTATTGATACAACCATAAAAATTAACACAAAATTAATTTGGAGACATACTAAAACACATTACAATATAACTCCAAGAGTGTTATTAAACCCAAAATAAATTATCCAACCTTCAATAAATGATGTCTAAGTAGATAATCTATCTTCCTATCATCACTTTTATTTATAAGGTCTTATGTGACTTGTAATTCTTCAATTATTCTATCCAATATTTATCAACCTCAGAATCCTAAGTATCCCAGAGATACTTGCCAATAAAAATAATAATATATAAGACAAGTTTGTCTCATGAAATACATAGGCTTGCATACACAATATACAACCTTTCAAAGCTATCATATAATCTTTATTTTAAATCAAAATTTATAGATTTTCATTAGAAATCTTTTCAAAAACCTTCACTTTATAACAAATTTTATAAATATTTACTTTTAAAACATGTTACATTACTAAATCATTCATAAATCGTCACTTCAAAATCATATAACATGCAGATATACGATGTATATACAGATTCACACACTAACACAACCTTGAAGAGTTCATACCCGATTTTTATCAATTATATACCGATTTTTTTTTAAAACCTAGGCCCTACAAATAGTAGCTCCCATGTCTGTACCAAGATAGAAAGAGCCAATCAACCGATCATGACATCATGCTCATATAAGTTATGCATGAGCTACCATTTCAGTCGAGTCTTCTAAATCTCATTCATAGGTTATTATGTGCCTAAGAATTTTGTCATATTTATCATGTAAGTCATATTCGATGTATGCATGAGCACCATTTTTTAGTCATCTAATGACATCATGAAATGCAATGTGTAATTCTATAAAAACATAAATCTTTCTTAAAAAGAGACCTTTTGTATTTTCTTTAACAATTTCATATATAAGTTCATCAAATATATATATATATATATATATATATATATATATATATATATATATATATATATATATATATATATATATATATAAAGTGTTGATTTGTACTATCATATCATACTTTACTTTATAAGAGAGTTCATTTACTTTCAAAACATACTTTACTCTAATAAGGAGTTCACTTGTTTTATAAAACATATTTTTACTCTATAAATGTAACATCCGTCTTCTTGGGTGAATCGAAATAGTGTTTCGAAGGGTCTAATGGTTGGATTTTTGGATAAAAGGGGTCCTCACGACTTGAGGCATGGAGGCTCACAACGTGAGGAGGGCCACGTGAAGATTCCATCTAGGACTGAGCTCACGACGTGAACAATAAGGGCTCACGACGTGAGGACCGATGCAACCCAAGCCCACAAAGTTTTAGCGGTTCCCACGTATTTAACCCCCCTTAAATCGATTTTTGGGTTCATTTCTCAGCCTCGACCTTCCGCTAACTTAGAAGACCCTAACCCTAATCCATCTTGGTGATTTTGGATCCATTTTAGTGTTTTGGTGGCTAGAAGAAGAGGTTCTAGAGTGTTGGTTTAGCAAGGAGGCATCATCATCATCATCATCATCATCATTGTAACGACCGAAATTTCGAAACAATTAAAACTTTTCAAAAACAACCCATTTTAATAACGTTGTTACAAAAAGGTTTTCAATACATTATTTAACAAAGTATTTCCCAGGTCCATTTCATAAAACACCAACGCGAGGAACGGTACGATCACGCCTTTGCCTTGCCACAGACTCCTGAGAACCTGCAAACATAAAAACCACAACTGTAAGCCAGAAAGCTTAGTGAGATACCCCCAAAATACCAACCACATATACGCCCTTCCAGGCCACAACCTTCCGGTCCAAAACATATCGCCTTCCGGCCTATAGCGTAATGCCTTCCGGCCCATAATGTGACATCCCCAAAATCTCGGCCAGAAAAGACCGATTTCATTTATGCTTTTTAAAATAATTTTCAGAGTAAATCCTTTTAATTTTAAAAGAGATGCGGAATTTGTTCCCAAAAACAAAACATGATAAAATAGATATTTATCAAAACATTTCATAAAGAAATATGATTTCATTTCACAATCAAAAGTCGGGATGTCATGTTCCTATACAGATCATAAAGCATAAACGATAGCATTATAAGTCATTCAACAAATATATACATATACAGACTTGTAAACAAAACAACTTGATGTTCGCCCATCTTAAGCTCTTGCGCCACTTCCTGTAAAATAAATCAACTGAGTGGGTCAGGCTTGGGAGCCTGGTGAGCATATAGGGTTTTCAAACCCACAATAATTATATTTAATTACAACAATCCACAATAAACCCGATTACCCATTTCCGTTATCCTCACTTTACGTTCCTAAAAATAACGTCTATTATAAGGAACCTATTTCAGGATTTTTCATCGGGACGGACATCACTGCAGAGGGGCTTCCTCAACAATAAGTGTCCTAAAGGCAACCATGTGGAGGATAGAGTACACCGGTGAACACGTCGTTCACAACACCTACAGGTAATGAGCCTGCTAGTGTTCCACAGGACAGTCTAGAATAGTCCGTGGTCGTCATCCATACTCTGCTGAATGACTAGAATAACACCAATAACACCGAGGCCTCTCATCTGTTTATTACACACCAATTACCTACCCATGTTCTACCCAACATATTAGTAGATAAAAATATACATTTTTATACATTGTTTAAAAACCTGTATAACATGCTTTAAGCAATACATATTCCACATAACAGATGAAGCATACACACATAACACGTATTTCATAGAGAATACATCAGATCTATAAGATAGAAGAGAGTGAATATACACTCACACGTATAACAACCAAATATATACACCTAACACGTATTTTATATGAAATACTTCATAATATTGCATTGGAATGAAAATAACTACACACTCACTTGATCACAAGATGATCGGGCAGCACTACGTCTTGCAGAAGAGGTGTTTCTCCGTAGATCTGGAAGATCTTCACAAAACCGGGCTCCTCGCGGGCAGCGTTTCGGCTCGGGAATATTGCTTTCGGGATCCTCGGGGCTTCGGATCTTGCTTCGGGGCTCGGGAATGATACCAGGGCTTTGGGGCATAAACGACACGCAAAACGAGGCAAAACTTAGAGAGAGGGAAGAGTTTGAACAAGAGAAAATGGCTGAATTCGAGTTCTATTTATAGGCTGCTGGGTCTGGGATTACGCGGGGCGTAATCTCAAATTACGCAGGGCGTACTCAGTACGCGGGGGGTACTCACGTTACGCGGGGCGTACTTTGACGTCACTGCATGCGTCGACTGGTGGCACTCGAGTATTGGTCAGACAAGTTGCATCCGACTGAGTACGCTGGGCGTACTCAAATTACGCGGGGCGTAATTGACTCGTCGAACTTCTAAATTGCGTAACTTTCGCATACGAGCTCTATTTTCGACGTTCTTTATAACCACGCGAAGGTCAGACATACTCTACAACTTTCATTTAGACTCCGTCGGCTAATTTTGACTTTTATTTTTATTATTTATTTTTAGAAGGCCGGGACAGAAAAACTTCGTTATAAATTCATAACTTCTTCGTCTGACGCCCGTTCTCGCCTAACTTTTCATTGTTTCGCTACTAACAACAAGATCTTCGATTCTCATTTAGATTGTTTCGGCTAAAAACCGCTTGATCTCAAATCGAGTATTTGGGCTGCATACTGCTAAGTCGAAACTTAGAAAAATCATAACTTCGTCATACGAAGTCAGATTTGGGCGTTCCTTTTATGCACGCTCTCGGTTTAATGAAATCTACGAC